CGGGGAGAAGCGCTGAATCGCAGCGAGGAGGGAGCAATGGTATTTTTTCACGCTCGAGCAAATGGCTTTTGGGAGCAGCACAGGTTGGAAAGCAGCTCCTCAGAGCGACTCAGTGCTTCTCCCAGCACAGGGTGCTTCGATCCGACCGGCTTTACCAGGGATTAAAAGAAAAAAAAGGGAGAAAAGGGCCACAGGGAGCTTACAGTGATCCCTGCTTGCAGATTCTTAGGGGGAGGATGCAGACGAGCGGTACGAGCCCTCCGAGCAGCACCCGGCAGGGAGCCCGCTGGGCAGGCCGCTGAGGTGGCTCCTAACTCTTCCCTTTCCAACACGTACTTACTCCCGGAGCTCACAGGAAAGGCCACAGGAACAAGGAGGTGTCTACAAAAGGTTGCAGGTGGAGAAGCCGCGCTACGCCAGCAGCAGGACAAGGAGGAGAAGAACTAAATTTAGGCCCTACCCTGACGTGCCAGCGCTTGCTGCACCCACCTTCACGGTCCCTCCTGCCGGCAAGTGTCCCACGTTGTCCAGAGAACCCACTTTGGCTTGAGCCTTCTCCTTGAAATTCAGCTTCTGGTTCTCGATTTTGACATCTCCTCCCCCTGGAACAAGATTGTGCAGGAGTGAGCTTATCGAGGCCTCCAGGACAGTCCCACCTGAGATGTGTCCCCTCGCCAGCCCCCACCAAGAAGCCGCTGGGCACCCACTGTACTTTGGAGGAGGGACGTGACCAAGTAAATCCATTTAGTGTCTCAGTTTCTCTTTCGTTAAGGGTCAGTTCAAACCCCAGCGTGGCCAAAGCTGGCGATTTCCCCCTGCGTGCAGGGCAGCACGGCGGAGCCCTGGAGGTGCCCTCAGGTGGGGAACGCCCCACGGCTGAAGATACCCTCACGCCAACTGCCTCACTAGTGAAGAATTTCTTTACTGGAAGGGTTGTGGGGCACTGGAACAGCCTGCCCAGGCAGGGGGTTGAGCTTAGGGGACGGGCGGATGTGCGGAGGGACAGGGGTTGGTGGTGCTGACAGAGCTGGGACAAGGCTGGACTCGATGATCTTGAAGGTCTCTTCCAACCCAAACTGTTCTGTCGCTCTGTGAATCTGTCTCCCCACAGCAGAGACGTGAAATGCCAGTTCCACCCGGCCCCACGCTGGTGCCTTTCCACCAGCTGCCCACTCCCACCCACGTCCCTCGCCAAAGGTCTCTGCCAGCTCAGCCCATCTGCGCGGCCATCGGTGCTGGGACACGCTCCGCTCCTTCTCGTGAGCTGCTTCCCTTTGCTCCTTACCCATTCCACCATCGCTGGTGGTGGCTTTGTCACTCCTTCCCTGACACAGACCCGTGTGCCGCGCAGGCAGGGAGAAGCCAAGCGTGGGAATGGGAGGGACACCAGGTTCAGAAGAACCCCAAGGTCAGAACATTTCCCAGATCCAGAACGCTGCAGCTCCCGTTAAGAACGGGACCACACGTGCCACCCGTATTCCAGCAGGTCTCTCAGAAAAACCCACCCTGCTGAAGTATTGCTGAGCACAACTTCTCTCCCCAGCGACATCATTAAACTGTCCTCAGCACTTTGGCAGCTTGGCATGGCCAACGGTGGGAGCCAACCGATTTGGCCCAACAAAACCAGTTAAAACATCTGACAACGGATAATTCCGGAGAGATTGTTCCGCTTTAATCAGCGCCGGACAAGAGCAGTTATTGTCGCTCACAGCTCGTTATTATGGAGCGTTGGATAAACAGGGGTCACGTTTGTGGCACCACGTTCTCAAAGCGGGAGCAGGTTTTGGGGGCACCGAACCGTGGTGCTCGGTGTGTAAGGTTGAACTGCTTTCAACCGAACGGGCTGGCAGAAAGGGTGCGGGAAGCTCCCAGGAGCAGACAAAGACAAGCCTGCAGCATTTGTTTTCAGCTTCGGTCAGCAAACTTTGTCCCTCGAGCACGGGTGTTTGGCTGGCAGGAGCTCTCCTGCGCAGATGAGCTGTCCTCAGACACAGCCAAACCAGAAAAAGTCAGGGAACGGATCATACTTTGGGGTGCTACAAAGGTAAAGTTCAAGCAATCCGCCAACCGCCGTGGTACCGTAAACTCTGTTGGACTCAACGCTCCGAGCTGGTCCCTGCTCGGTGAGGAAACCTGCAACTCGCAGAGCAACTGCTGTGCTCCCAGTGGAGAGCGAATAATTCCTGCACGCTCGCCCCATGATGTGTCATTAAGGAGCCAGAAGTGCTTTATATAAGACAGGAGCTGCTACTGAACTGAAAGCTAAACCGCCCCTTGTATCTGCTTTGAAGAACTGGAGGGAAATCACTTCATCCTTCCACAGCACACACGGCCCCAGAGCCCCCAGGAAGCACAGGCGAAGCTTCCAGACTCCTGGAATGCTCATGGGAGGTATCCACTTCTTTTCTTTTTTCAAAATGAGGAGGGCAAAAGAGAACTGAGTCAAAGCAGGGGATTATCTCCTTGGGCAAGATGAAATCCCTCATCTCCTAATCCCCTTCTCCGCTCATGAAACCATGAGGAATTGCTAAAGCAGTTGGCATTTCCAGAAATACTCCCTGGCAGCAACAAACCCCTTGAACTATTTCGGTCGCAATCCAGGACTACACTTAAGTGACGTGCGAGATCTACAGACAAAGCACGAGGAAATGGTAAAATCCCCACCTGGCTTATGCTTGATATTTGCTTTAGAGCCACACTTGGAGGACACTTTGGAAAGGTCGACTTTCTTGTTCTGGATCTGCACCTAAAGAGACAAAAAGAAAAAACTCAACGCGGGGAAACATTTCGTGTGATGTGGAGGCCGACGCGACATCTCAGACACCAGGTCACGCTTCGTGAACCTGCGCACCCCTTTTCCACCGTACCGTATCCTCACATCGATACCCCAGCCACCGTGGGCCAAAAGCTACGGTCGTCTTTAGCGCTACTTCGAGGCCAGAAGGGGTTAATGTGAGCAGACAGAATACTGGGACCAGGTAAAACCAACAGATGGGACAGGACCCAGAAGCGGGAGCCTTTTGTTCACGGCACATCCATGGAACACGAAAGCACTCGGGAGAGGGACGGAAGAAAAGCCAGTCCCGTGGCCACGCTCCCCAGAGCGTTTCTGTCACTGCCCGGGCGGCTCCGGCCACCAGGACAGACGTCACCTCACGGTTCTACTCGGCCACTCTCTCTTCCAGAGACACCAGCTCCAACTTCTTCTCTCTGCCAGTCCTCACCGTGCAGGCGGACCCGCGTGAAATCAGCAGGATCTGTCTGCAGGCACCTCAGGGCTGCGCTTCCACCCCGCGGAGAGGAGGGCACGGGAAGGATCACCCTGCCCAGAGGGAACGAGCTGCTGGAAGCAGCTCTCTTCTCCGAGACTGGAGGTGGAAGCTACTCCCCGGTACGACTTCCTTCACCCTCATTCCACCCCTGACTTAGCCCCGGCAGCCGCCACCCTCGGTGAGGAGAAGCGTGCGATGCAGTCACGAACTCGAGAGATGCTCATGACTCAGCCAACGACCTTCTCCTGAGCCAACGGGCCAAATGTTCCAGCGTGGGCTCTGTGGGCACCGCTTTGAATCTGGGGAGAAGCATCTTCTCTGGGGGGAGGCAGAAAGTGAGGGGGTTTACGTCTTTTTGCGCCAAAAATATTTCACCTGTGACACCCGGACCAAGCACATCGTGCAGAGCCCCATGTCTGACAGCTTTAAAACTCCTCCTGCTGCTCCAGGTGGATGAAAAATTCCTCTCTTCCAGAGTGAACTTCTGCTCTAACTGCCTGGAGATCTTTCATTTCATGCAAACATAAGATAATTTACACCAGAAGGAACCTCTGGTGATCTGCTCTCAGCCCTACCCAGCTGACTTTACAACTTTTCGTGGGAAAGCTCCAGGGGTTCTGGTGGTCGTGGTCAGAGGCTCACCCCTCCCAACCGCCGGCTGACAGCCACACGCACGGCACGCTCCGCTCCTCAGCGTCTCGCATAGAAAACCAAAATCTTTCTTTCGGAACGTAGCAGGAGTTCATTCACCTACCAGCTACTCTAAAAGCTCACTGAGGATTACCACGATAATTTGCAATACGTCTTTCTCGGGAAGCACGAATCCTCGCAGCGCTCGTGGGGAGGGATGAGGCAAAGCCCTGCTGCCGCGTTTGCTCAGGACGGGCGGAACAGCTCAGCTCAGCCTCCTGTGACGCTGTTCCACGCTCAGGGACCCTGACTCAGGGACACTCCGGAAGGGTGAGATCACGGCTACCCAGTTTGATTTTCTCGGGGGTTGCTGGTAAAATTGCTACAGCTTTTACAAAGAGTACTTGTTTGCCTGGAGCTGGAGTAAAACTAGATTTATTTCACAGTGTGCAACTGCAATAGCTGATAATGTTTGCTGTCAGCTCGCGCACACATACTCAGTTATGACTCGTCATGATTTTCACCTGAAGATCCAGACAATTATCCCTCCGTGCAAGCGCATTTCTTGTGAGATTCCTACCATCAGCTGTTTGGGAGACACCCTGTAAGGCTTGGGCTTGCACTCACAGAGCCAAATACTCAGACGCTGGTGCCAGAAATCAGCCTGAGATCTGAAATGATCTGATGTGGATGCTCAGGAGGGAAGCACGAACCTCATCTCTTTTTAGATTTTCTCTCTCTGACCACAGCTCAGGTTAAGCCAAAGGGCAGAGAAACATACGGACATTCCAAATCACCTTGTTAAAGCTTCCGCAACACGTGCACCACCTGTGCTCGGTAAAACCCACCCCTTCACTTCTTGCTTCTTTAAAAAGGAGAGCGGGAAAATACTGAAGCATGAGAATAGCTTTTACCCGGGAAACCTCGCTAGCTCTGTGTCAGGATGCTTCTGGCAAATGTGACGTCTTTGGGGGGATCCTGGAGGGGAGAACAAATTTCCCTCACGTACGAAAGGCAAAACGGGGACCCACACAGAGCAACTGCCTCACCTGGGCAGGACGTCCCCCGCTGCCGGCACAGCAACCCTCGAGCTGAGTCAGAATTCGCCACCAACCACAGCCCTTGCCCAGGATCCCTAAAGGCTTCACCTGAAGCCATGGCTGGAACTAGGGCAGCGGAGCTGGGGAAGGGCCTGGAGAGTAAATGTGGTGAGGAGCGACGGGAGGGGCTGGGGCTGTTGGGTTGA